TGAGAATTATGAATGGAAACTCTTGAGAACTATTTATAGATCAATACGATACAAATATTTTTATTACATAATTCTTAAGTGGTTAAACTATGCATATTCATGTTCCTTTTATTATAAGCTTTATTTTAACACATAGACTATTTTTATACGATTTACCGTTCTTGAGTTCTGTCCAATCTATTAATTGCAGTCTCCCACATTCACAGACACTTTTGGCTAGATCTTGTACAAAAGTTAATTTCTATTTAGTGGTAAGATGTGGTCTGTTCGGCTTATATATAAACACAGTATGTTTGGAATACATGATTCGTATTGCAGAGGCTGAAATTGGTGCTCTGGACTCAACAGTCAGGGCTAAGAAGGAAGAAGGACCGATAAGGACTGTAGAATGCTCGTACAGGTTTACACGTCATTGGTCCGATCGATAAATCACTGTTCTTTAATTGGCGTTATATATGAATAGGGTACAAGGCTACAAGTTATAAAAAAAACTACACTTGTATTTCTGAATACAACAAGTTAACTCAGACATATAATTATTGAAACAACAGATTACTGTTGAAATTTTGATTTATTCTGACAGATAGTTTGAAATATCTGTTAGAATGTAGTAGAACATGATCTAAAATGAAAGAAAATTACCATATTCAAAGAATAAAATTTCCTATCTTATAATCCAAATTGATAAAAAAACATACAGAAAATAATTTTGTCTATAAAAGAATAAAACAAAGGTATATGTTCACTTGTTGTTGTTTTACTTGTATGTTCTCATTGTAACTTAGGACTGCAATTGATCAGTCTCATGTTGGCATCCTGTGCGGATTGCCTCGACAAAGCCCTAAGTAAAACAACACCAAGTGAATTTAAACTTCACCCTATTACACAAGTAGGTGGTTATCAGGACTCAGTAGCTAAGTGGATATCACGATGGTATTTGAACCGAGTCCTGGAGTGAACACGAACTTTGGGATGCAGGTACATCGAGCTGACGAGTCCCAAATAGAACGAAACGCGCGTCCTGGATTCCACTGCCAGCCACTATCCATCTTTGCTTAAAAAGGTTTATATTATGACATTGTATGTCGATGACCTGATTTCATTGAAAAGCATAATCATGATGTATGTAGACTGAAGAAGGGAATTTTAACTAATTAAAAAATTGAAAAATATCTAAAATGTAGGGTAGAATTTAAATTATAGTCACATATTATAAAATAATGTCAGGGAATATAAAGGATGGCAAATAATCCTTACATAGTGAGTAATTAATTCCTAGAGTTCAACATTATTTCATCTAGCCTTTAATGTTGATCAATTTATACCAAATAGATTATAAATGAAATTACTAGTGTAAAATCTACGTGTATGTTTTCTTTTTTGTTCTCATGTCTAATAATTGGAAACAGTCGTCAGGAGACTCTTTATCTACGTTTCATATTAATCGACTATGATCAGTAAAATATATCTGTCGTTTTAAATTGACTTTCACTAATCATAAAATTTAGACGCATCTCACTTAGTATTCAAGTTGAATTAGGTTTATACAAAATAGTATGAAAATCACGAGATATAATTTAATACAATTTGTAAAATGATCTCTTTTTATAGACTGATGGAATAAACGCATATGAAATGAGAATTATATCTATACAAGCAAATGTGTATAACTAAACATTCTCAGTGATTTACTTAGTCTCTCTCACTCTCATTCGCTCTCTCTCTCCCTCTCTCTCCCTCTCTCTCTATATATAATGGTATTTCCAATTTCCGGTTGACTATTATTCATTTATTTACAAAGACTATAACCATTGACTAACTGACGAAATTATCTGTTCAAATCAATCTATTTTCATTTATCATTATCCATAGAGTATAAAAAAAAACAAATAACAGTCAACATACAAATGAATATAATAGTAGTATTGATATTATAGTTATATAAAATAATTAATCAACTATTTTCATTCATTCATTCATTCATTCATTCATTCATAGTTACTTCCTATTTCTTTCATTTCATTCTTTATTATATGACTAAAAAAATTATTTATTATTCATTCATAATTTAGATTTACTCAATTCTCATACGTTTACAATAGGCATTCATATTGTTGGTTACTTTTTCTTAATGTCTGTTATGAAATCTGAAAACAAACAAACAAGCAAACAATCTGGACATTTTATCAAAAATAAATAATTTCCTGAATCCCATGAAGATTTTATTAAGCCAAACGAAAAAAAAACAAAAAAAAAGAGAAAACGGATCATAAATAATGATCAACATAATAATACGCAATAAATAAATAAACAATTTCCTGAAAAGAAAAATAATCATGTTTTTTTTGGTGGAGTTTTGTTCTCTGAGCTGGATGGTTTTGGTCAGAGAACAAAAAACTCCACCAAAATCATCCACCTAAGCTACAAATTTTCTCTACCATCTCAAAATCATGTTTTTTTTTCTTAATAAAAAAATGTACTGTGAAATGCACATTAATATATAATTATATTAGTCTTTTTCAGTCCCCTATTATGGTTAGACTTATACCTTCATCATTATTGACTGATTTTAAAAAAATTTCTGAAATGATGTAAGATGTAAAATACTTTTAATGTTATTATTAGTTTATAAGGTTATTGTCCGATAGAACTTCATTGATAAAGGTTTAATTTGTTAAAGCGAACATGAATGAAGATTGATGCAGAATAATATGAATTCTATTCTGTTTCATTAGGTTCTCATCAGTGGCTTACAATATTGTGAAATCAACGTTCTTACAGATATTGATATACTTAAATATACGAAGGTAATTAAAGATGAATATGTGTATTATATTGAGGTGAAGATTTCAATATAGTTAATAAGATCATAAAAGTTTTGTTTCGGATAAATAAAGTTTGAGAAGGAAAGTTCAAGAACATTCAAATAGTGATTAGTTTCAAGCTATATGTATACATCTTTTCAATGCTATTGTTCTTATTTCAAGCATTTTACACAGTTGAAATGATTTAGTTTGGCTTACCCCCGACCGAAGCTGCTACCTTGACACGATGGTCGGGCTTGCCTATCGTGATGACCCAGCCGAGCTATATTGGCTAGAACATATGTTCCTGTAGGTTCTACCATCCCAGGCAGGTCGATTGGAGAACGGTAAGACTAAAAGAAGCAACTCAAGCTCTGTGGGGGGAGTCGTACTGCTGATTGTACAGAGATGTGATAGCAGTAAGGTTTTTCCCTCAGACAACCAGCATGATAGCGATGCTGCCTTCCCACAAGGAGGGGTGGGGTTAGAAAAGGTTGACCCTAAAAATGTCACACCTCACCTTACCTCACGGATTTCCGTCTCCGGCGGTAAGGCCCTTTGAAGAACGGAGCTAACACATTAAAAACCTTCCACGAAAAGGCCGTGCTGACCGGCCTCAAGCGGTTGTCCCTTGGGCTCTGTGGTCACACTCCCAGGTCGTTGAGACCAACACTAATCCGACTTCTATTTCAGGTTCCTCAAGCAATACCCTTCCACGGTGTGGGCAGCCGGGAAGTGAAACCAGCCCTCATACCCTTAACGACACACGACTGAGTTTGGCTTACCATTCATAGGTTTTTTTTCTAGAGTGTACACAACTTCGTGTTGGCTTTTATATAAATTGATTTAACGGGTGATACCTTAACTTACAGTATTAATCATTCGAGAAACCGATTTATGGGATTACTAACGTAAAATTATATCATTGTTATATTACACTATCCGACATTATTTGACATTTACTCAAATAGAACATTATCTCACATTCAAATAATATACTAGTTCTTAAACCTCTGTGATCACATTATATATTATGCATACTATAATAATTCTTATCCAAAAATCTAGTTTTCATAGTGAAAAATTGAAAGGATGCATTTTTTTAGATCTACGCAAATTACACAATACTTATTGTTTATTTTTGTCAGTTTCCAAGTAGTCTAGTTAACAAATTCGATTTAATAATTCAATATACATCAGATTTTATTTTACCAGTTAGCTTGTAATATTCGACGATCTTTTGATGAATGGTAAACAAATTAAATCTATCATAACAGTTTAGTGCATAACAATATGACGAGAACACCTACAGTACTGGAATGTAAGTGGATCCAGCTGAATAGCAAAATGATAAGTATTCTATATTTTAATATTCGCAACTAATGTGAACAATAATAATATGCTAATTAGTCACTTACGCTTGTAAACCCTCATGGAGGAGCATGAGCCGTTCATCATCATTCTCCATTCATCTCTGTCCTGGACGATCCTTTCGACTTGTTCCCGGTTACTACTTCTTCTCTCGATGTCTGTTTTCAGTTCTCAGAGTAGTGTGTGCTTTGGTCTCCCTTTTTTCCGCCTCCCTTCACGATTCCAAGATAGAACTTGCCTCATGATGCAGTTGGATGATTTACTCAATGTATGTCCTATCCAATTCCAACGTCTTTCTCCAGTTTCCTCTTCAGATGGAAGCTGGTTTGTTTCGCCCCTGGTATTCGGTCAACGGATATTGAGTATCTTGCAAAGACAGTTATTTATAAATGCTTGTACACTTCCGATTATGAATGTATTAGTTCTCAAAGTTTCCACTCTATACAACAGAACTATCTTGATGTTCATATTGGAGATTCTGACTGATGTTGAATGACAGTTATTTTGAGTTGCATATATTCTTCAACTGTCCCGGACTGAACACTGTCTCTGTGGTTCAAATACGTCCAGTGCATACAGGGTTCCACCGTTAGCCACCATCCAGCTCTAGTCAAAATATGTTATATTTTATACGCCTCAGATTTGAATATATTAGCGAACTGCTTCGGTAAGTTATTTGTGTCCTTATGTATTATTAGTTAATCAAAGAATAACTTTCACTAGTATACATATATTTTTCACATGAACGAGTCCCGATAATAAACGTTAAAGTTTTACTTTTAGTATAAAATAAACCGTATTTTCTATTTTATTTTCTCCCAACAGGTGATCATCGTAGATCCGGAGGGCACGATTATCGTCGTCACACATCTGGACATATACACTCATCTGATTCACATCCACGTACATTTAGCGGAGGTGCAACACATAGTGAAGTTGGTGAAGGCGGTGTAGGCGGTCTTGTTGGTGATAGTCACGGTGGTCATTCATTTGGTGGTCACGAACAAGGCGGAGTAATGGATGCTACATTCATCTGGAAATTAACTAAGCTTGGAAGAATTGGATCATCACGGCTACGATTTGATGATGATTTTGCTGATAGGCTTAACTATCAGTATACTGGGGTATTGATGTTTCTTTTCATTGGTCTTATTGGAATTCGACAATATGTTGGTAAGTAAATCTGTCTTATATAACTGAGTTTATGGGTCATTTTTAAACCCTCTTTTTTACTTACAATGAAATCTGTAACTAAAAATCGATACCAGTTTTGATAATGAGTAAAAATAAAATTATTGCTAATTCAAAAGTATTTATGAAAATTATGGTTAATGGTTAAGGTACTATTAGTACGGGGTTGAGGGGATTATTAAGTTTTTGATTGAGATCATGAGCCAATTGATTTTGGACCACCATTAAAAACCTGGAAGCACTGGACAGCCGTGTCGCCGTATTGTAGGACTCCTCAGCAGTGCGCGTCCATGATTAATTAAATTATTGAGAATTAGGTAGTTATGATATTCAAGAATGTTAACCAATAAGTGAATGAGTTAAAATACATGTATTACATAATAGCCGGTTGTGTAACAAGAGAGAGAGCGATGTTTTAGTTAACTAAGAAGAGGGGTTTGTTTTATTGATTCATCATTGTGACATAGATAAAGTTTGTTATGATAAATGCAATCCATTTTAGCTGTATAGAAAATGAATGTACATAAACCGTAGATTAATTTTAATGGAATATCATGGATAACTTGAAAAACCTTAGTCACATTCATTTGATGCTTTCCGTAAATCAGCTGAGCTGGTAAGGACCTCTTAGTTATTATTAATTGTTCTGCACTGATGTAGGTTGGATGGTATTCAATAATTCGCTAATAGGTTTATCTAATTATTTATTCAATAAAACTAGACTTAATAGGAGCAAATGACTTGTGAAATAGACAAACTTCATCTTCAGCTTTATTTATAGGTATGCAATATAAATTATCTTTATATAAATAATTCATATTCGTAATTATCTGTATGATTAATAACGAATAATTACAGGAGTCAATCAAAGATTAAAGACAATATGCCAGTTTTAATGTACTAAAGACAATTCCACTAATTAAAGCTCTCATTCCCAAAGAAACAACATTATTTATGTCTAATGCTAAGCTCTGTATACAACTATTATCTGGTTTTATTAATAACAAAATATATGATATTTTGGACAGTTTAATATAATTTACATTCCACAGGTTAAAATCATGAGTCAATTGAAGCTAGATTACCATGGAAAACCTGTAAGTACCGGACGGCCGTTTCGTCCTAGTATGGGACTCCTCAGTAGTGCGCATCCACGATCCGCGCGAAACCAGTGGGTCCTGGGTTCGAATCCCGCGGGGTGCGGAATCGTGGATGCGCACTGCCGAGGAGTTCCATACTAGGACGAAACGGCCGTCCAGTGCTTCCAGGTTTTCCATGTTGGTCTAGCTTCAATTGACTCATGATTTCAATCAGTGAAATTTCTAAAATCTCCACAAAAGCCCTTCTGATAATAATTTACATTCATGAATTTAAACTTTCATAATCAAATTAGAGTATTATGAAATGAAGTGAAATCATTTCTTTTTGTACGTTCGTACTTAATAAGACAATTGATGGATAAAATGTTTTAAAAATGTCATTTTAGTGTGTAACATGTATAAATTCATTTAGTTTCATAGTGAAAAATATATATGAACGAATCGAGCACGAGAAAGAGAAAGAGAGGGGAGACCATCACGTAATCGTGAACAAGAAACGGGTAGAATCTGTAATGATTAAATCTCTATACTCTGGATTATAACCATATTTCAATGAATTCACCTAGTTCAAAATAAATCTTTAGTATGTATCCGTTTATTGAGTCATTTCAGAATGCATTAAAAGTATTTACTTAATGTCTTTTTAAAATCATTTACATTGCTTATCACTTGTATTAACAGATCCATTATTGTCATCGTATACTAAAGAATTGTAAATTTACAATATTTAACAAACAAATTTCATTCTGTTTTCACAACATTCAGAGTATTTTGTAAAAACGACTAACTATTTATTTGCTGGTAGTATAACCACACTTATTATAAAGTGTTTAAGTCCTTTTGTCCGTTAAGCCTAACATATTGTTACACAAATAGATAACTTTCTCATCATAAATGTAACACTTGATGTAACTTTGAGTGTAAATGTTTTAATCTATTTATCTACAGTTATTCATAACGTTTTCGGGGTTTACTAATTGTGTCATATACACCATTTTGTGTAATTTCTCAGTTTGTTTATTGCATAGTTGCTGAATATTTTAAAAATTGTAATGCATATTTTATTTTAAGCTGTGAAGTTTATTATATTACAGTTTTCATCCACCTTATCAGTATGCATTACATCGAACATGTTCACAAGTGACATAGGCGGGACCCACTAAATTTTTGAAATGAAATCTTTAGTGGAAATTACACTCTAATATGACCAAAAGTGTCAAGTTCGATATCATTCGTGAACATTACAAAACGTTTTAGATAATAACAGATTTACTTGAACATTAGTTTATATATTTAAATTCATCACCAATTAGTTGTCAATCAATCAGATTACAGCAAAGATAAATGCATAAAAGAAAACAAAATAATATATTATTCTAAGACAAAAGTCAACAAGTCAATTCCAAAATTCCAGAAAAGCAAAAAAACAAGTTCCATTTTTTCAAAATAGAAAATGATAGACAAACAATGTTTAAAATGAAATCTAGTTGATCTCAAAAAAAAAACATAGTAACTATATATGTATTGCCGGTTACTTGACATCATTAACAAGTGAGAGAGAGAGAGAGGAAACTAACAATCAGTCGGATTCCTGTTTTGTTAAGAAATAACAAATAACTGGAGAAAATTAAAAAGACAGTCAAATAAAGTACCCTTTTACTATTAATTTTAAATGAGAAGTAATACTCTAACATTAATTTTAACTCTTTCTTTTTAAAAAAATGACCTGATATTTTTCACTCCGTGATCTCACTGAATAAATTTTACCATAGTAAAGCTAACAATATCGGTGTTGGTTGTTAAGTGATATAAAAAGGATAAATCATTAATAATCATGTCGGTGTACTGAAATATTTGATAGAAAGAAATGAATAGAACGAGAAAGAGAGAGATAGAGAGAGAGAAAGAGGTAAAGTGAAATTGTAAATTAACTTGTTTTTTTTTCTTTATCTAACATATTTGTTACATTCAAAAGGAATGTATATTAGTATTTTATAAAGAGAGAATAATTAGTCGTTACCATCATTATTATTACTATCATTATTATTATTACTATTACGATTACTATGGGTATTATTATTTTCTTAATATGAAACGTCAAGCGTGAAAAATTATTTGATTTAGAAAGAATAAATCTTATTCATTTCAATTTATTGAGAATATAAATCATCGGTTGTATAGACAGATAGATAGGTAGGTAGATAGTGTTTTCTGTTTAGTACATTCTATTCATTTGTCATTAATTTGAAATGATTTAGATACATATATATGTGTATATATAGTTATGAAAACGTTGAGTAACAAAAGAAAAGAATGACAGAGACAGAACTAAGCTATACAGTATTGATATAAATATTTTGAAATTTATTTTATGCATGCATAGTTTTAATACATTTGAAAATGAAGAGACTTTGAGAAAAATGTTGAAGTTTAGCCTTAGAATCGTCAACAAGGTCTATCTATACGTAAAATGTATTGAGGTTAAATAGATGAAGACAACTGACATAAAAGTCTAAAGATTAGTTAGTACAGGATATGTACTCTTTTCAGTGAGTTCAATTAATTGCACTGGTTCAGAGACATTACATTTCACATTGTTAACTGAAATCTGTATCAGTGTTAGTATGTCACTTATTTGTAGAGCATATTCACATCCTCACCTTCAGGTTTCATCATGATTCATGGGCATTTAAACGACTTACTTGGAATTCAAAAGTTTACATGTCGAAATTCAATCATTTTGTAATATTGAGTGACTGTCTTCCATTGCCTAAGGTGGACGCAATTCCAGAAGTTCTAGTGAGAAGCTGTGACTAGTAAAGCCCAACCATGTCAGTTATTCACTTCAAGTATAGAGGTTAAGATATAAACGTCCTGAGTTTGATCCACTATGTTGGAGTCATGGATGTGCTCCACTAAACTGCCCCACACTTGAATAAAATAGCAGTTCCATATTTCCTGGTTTTAAATAGTTGTCTAACTAGGATCATGCTGTGCTGTAAATTATAAAAATTTGAGAGATCTATACTGAAATGCGTGTAGATAAGAAAACATCATGGAAACGTCTTTGACACTACGGAGTTCCTGAGAAGATTGTCAAAATTATCCGGAACTCATACGACGGACTACAGTGCAAGGTCATGCATGGAGGACAGCTAACAGACGTATTCCGAGTAAGGACCGGAGTCAGACAACGCTGTCTTCTCTCTCTCTTCCTCTTTCTATTCGTGGTCGACTGGATTATGAAGACCTCGACATCTGAGGGAAAACACGGAATACAATGGACAGCTCAGAACCAATTAGACGATTTAGACATCACAGATGACCTAGCCTTCTTATCCCATACACACAAAGAAATGTAGATGAAGACAAATAGTGAAGCAGCAGCCTCTGCGTCAGTAGGCCTCATCATACACAAAGGAAGAACCAAGATCCTCAAATACAACATGAAGAACATCAATCCAATCACTCTTGATGGCGAAACTACGAAAGATGTGGAAGCCTTCACATACCTGGGAAGCATCATCGATGAACAAGGATGTTTAGATGCAGACGTAGAGGCGAGGATTGGCAAAGCAAGGGTCTCATTCCTACAACTGAAGAACATATGGAATTCAACCAATATCAAAGTGAGAATCTTCAATAAGAACGTCAAGGCAGTTCTATTGTATGGAGCTGAAACTTGGAGAACTACAACAACCACAATCAAGAAAGTACAAGTATTTATAAATAGCTGTCTATGCAAGATACTCAACATCCATTGGCCGGATAACATCAGCAATAGCCTTCTGTGGGAGAGAACAAACCACCTTCCAGATGAAGAAGAAATTAGGAAAAGACGATGGAAATGGATAGGACATACATTACACAAATCATCAAACT